TGTGTGTGTGTATGTGTTAAAAAATACATATTTTATTATAAAAGTATTCTGCACCCCATTATGCAAATTAGAATGAACAATAAAGGTCTATCACAGATATTGTTTACCTTTAGTTTAGTGCAGGACATATTGATAATAGTTTGGTGTTACCATGGCTCAGTGGTCTATTTTCTGTGGCACAGGACCAGAATTCTATTTAAAAAAAAACATGCATATCTATGCCGGCAGCTAAACAAACACTATATGTAGTGCTTATCAAAAAGCGTGCCATTCCCTTCCACAAATCTACATTAACATTGCTAAGTAAACCTAAAAGACCTTATCAGAACCCGATGTGAGGAATAAGAGACCCTCGACCACGTATCCACAGTTATGTATGTAAATCTAGCCATGTGTATGCAAATCCTGACATGTAAATGCACCATTGAGCTACTTAATGTAGTGATTACAAAAATGGGGTCCATTACAGCAGCAGAATGTTGAGATCTGAGAACTACTAAAATTACTAGTCCACACATCAAAAGATTTCAAGAGGAAGTCATTTTAAGAGTTCTTTTAGTTTAAACTAAACTATCACATAAGCTCTGCTTGTTTGCCTGTATCTCTCGTCCTCCATGTCTAAAGGTTTCAGTCTGTCTGGGTGAGGTCTTGTTTGACTAGTCTCTAGGGAAGATGCTGGAAGGAAATGTCTTCAACGCGATGTGGCAAACATGGCCCCAGGGGTCATGTGACAGCTCTAAAATGGCCTTTTGATTCCGATTCACAGCCCATAATAACCTCGCTACCAGATCTAAGGCCTTTTTATGTAGCCTCGGCAACCCTACCCAGGGAATATTCGCTGCCGTCTTGTCCTCTCGCAGCATTTCACCAGGGAAAACTATACCGCCGAGAGAAAAAGCAAGAAATGGCAAAGAGAGAGATGCTTTGTGTGCATATTCTTCATAAAATCGTAACTCACTCTTCTTTCCCAGTCTCAGAAAAACAGTCAGGAAATACCTCGGCTCCTCCAGGCCAGGGTATTGCACACAATAAAGGTAAGAATGTAGATCTAAGGAGCCTGGGATAGACAAATCACAGCACCTCCTTTTTTTTGCTCATTTAAGGGCCAAAGAGAGCGAAGGAGCGGCCTCAGATAGATCTTTATGTTCCTGAAGCGGTTTTCATCCAGATGCTGCTATTATTCCCAGTGTGGGCTGAATAAACAGTGGGATGACCTATGACCCCAGGCTTTATGATCTCATAAGCTCAAATCCAGTTTGTGGTCGAGTTGGCCATACACGTGTGTGCATTTATTTCTAGCATTACACTTCAGCGGACTCGAGTTTTATCTCACCTAAGATGTCTATTGTGTGACAAAGACAGAAAGTTAAAAGCCATATCATATTTTCTCTGTATTTGTACCTTGTAGTAGGTGTTTGATTGTAAAAAAAAATGGTGTACATGGTATCAGAAGCAGAGATGGGCATAAATATGTAATGTTTTGAGTTTTGTAACCATTCCAACAAACTTCAAGTCATTTCTCCCCAGAAATACATTATATCTAGATCTATTTTATTTCTGCGTCTCTGTGCACATATTGCTATTCACATCCAATAAGAGTATTGGAAAACTGTGCATTTTTGTTTTAAAATACTATATTGAGTTTTATGTTTCAGTGGCATCATTTCCACTTACTGAATTGCCCAATCGAGAAAAGTATGTTGAAAATTAGCTCTGTAAACAACAAATTAAATCAAGATTTTGGTAAATATCAGTGGATAACATGTAATGGACTGAGTCATTTAGTGTGTTTAAATGTCGTTAAATTATGTGTATATTCAGAGGTGTTAATGAGCTCTTATACTGTAAGTCGGATAAACTTGCCATCCGCGTGCCACTTTTTTTTTTTTTGTGTAATATTTTGGCCTGCCACCTAATAGTCGACAAGAAGAGGCTTAGCAGGCTTACCTTGGTGAGGGACAGAGCATTAGCAGCGGGTCCTTGTGGTAATTACAATATGTCGGGAAGGAAATCCAAACGTTCAACTTTCAACCATCGACCTCAAATATGGCTTATCATTTGAAATATGTAATACGCTCCCTATAACGTTAAAGGCATAGTTCCCCCGAAAATGAAAATTCTGTCATAGGCTACCTACTCACCCTCATGTCGTTCCAAACCCATTAGTCTTTGTTCATCTTCTGAACACAAATGACGATCTTTTGGATGAAATCTGAGAACGTTCTGTCCCTCCATAGACAACTATGCAACTGACACTTTGACGCTTCAAAATGTTCATAAAGAGATTGTAAAACTAGGAGTGAATGGTTTAGACCAAATTTTCTGAAGAGACTCGATTGCTTTATATGATGAACAGACTGATTTTAGGCTTTTATTCACATATAAACATTGATCAGCGAACATAAATAGAAGCTCAACCTAACCTGCTTTACGCACGAGAACCTCCTGTCTTGAAGCTCAAACATGCCGCGTAACATGAGAATGAACCTCATTGGTTCTTGCGGAAGCTCAAAATATCTACAAGCAACCAAGGTAAACATGTTCTCATTGATATTGTTCATTGAAGCTTATAGAGTATTGTGAGAGATAGTACGTGACTGTACTTGCATATAGCATTTTCCTTCAGGTCATTCCTATATTCGTAATAAAAAAAATCAGTTTGAATGTCCGTTGCGATATCTTGTCCTTTTAACAGTTGGTTTCCCGTGCCTTATGTCATTTGTCAGTTGTGTCTTGCTTCATTGTTTACAAGTTTCAGTCCTTTCAATATAAAAGTCTTCTCTGACTGACTCACTCATAAAAAAAAAAAAAATCCCGCCATCTAATGGTGAAATAATGTAAGTTCTGTTGCTGTTCACTGACTATTTTTTCAAGCGGAAGGAAGGCTTTTAGTGATTTTACTTCATGAAAGTTGCATTGATACATATTTTTGGCCTTAGAATTTGTGGTAACCGTTTTATAAAAGCAATAAGGTACTCGAAGCTAGTGCTGTATCGTGAATAAGTCACACTTAATAACGCCCTTCAGCCGTGACTTATTCAGGATACAGCACTAGCCTCGAGTACCTAGCGACTTATTGCTTACATATGCACTGCCTTTCAAAAGTTTGGGATCGGTAATATTTTGTATGTTTTAAAGTAAGTCTCTTATGCTCACAAAACAACAACAACAACAACAACAACAACAGTAATATCATGAAATTATGACAATTTAAAATAAATGTTTTCTATTTTAATATATTTTCTGAATATTATTTTTATTATCGATTTTCAAACATCAAAAACAGACAATAACAGACAAAGAGACCCTTCATATAACAGAAATCTGTGCAATATGTAAAATAAATATAAAAAAGGGGAGGATGATATACAAGGCCAACCTCTCCTACAAAGTGTAATCACAATAATCACAGAAAATGAATATTACAAATCTGAAATAAATAATAAATAAACCATTAGTCCTTGTGACTCGACAAAAAAGTAAAAACTGGTTCCCACATTTTACAGAATTCCCAGAAATAGTGTATCTAATTCTTTCCAGGTGTAACGTACAAGTGAGTCCGGATAGCCAGTCAGAAAAGAGGGGCGTAGTATTTTTCTTCCACAAAACAGGATAACGTTCAGCTACAGTCATACCATATCGAACAGGTAATCGTGCCTTTGAACTGAGAGACTCCAGTGAGTCTGACCAACCAAGAATTGCTATCATAGGGTCAGGAAGTAAAACACATATGGAATATTTTTTTGCCAAATTTGAGCACAGAACCAAAAAAGATGTGCCAGGGTACCCTCGGCAGCTTTGCACTTATCACATTTAGGGGAGACAGAAGGATAGAATTTGCTAAGCTTTATCTATTTTAATATATTTTAAAATGTAATTATTCATGCGATGCAAAGCTGAATTTTCAGCATCATTATTCACCAGTCTTAAGTGTCACATGATCCTTCAAAAATCATTCTAATATGCTGATTTGCTGCTCAAGAAACGTTTATTATTATAAACGTTTTTTTTTTTATAAATAAATAAAAATAAATAATAATATATGTATTATTATTATTATTATGTTGAAAACAGTTATGTACATTATTTTTCCAAGATTCTTTGATGAATAGAAAGTTCAAAAGAACAGCATTTATCTGAAATAAAGCTTTTGTAACATTACACACTACCATTCAAAAGTTTGGAGTCAGTACAAATTTATTTTTAAAAAATGTGGGGGGTAAATAAAATAAATCAATACTTTTATTCAGCAAGAATGCATTAAATTGATTTACAGTTACAATAAAGACATGTATAATTTAACAAAAGATTGTATTTAAAATAAATGAAATAGAACTTTCTATTCATCAAAGAATCCTGAAAAAAAAGTCCACAACTGTTTTCAACATTGATAATACAAACACACACACACACACACACACACACACACACACACACACACACACACACACACACACACACACACACACACACACACACACACACACACACACACACACACACACACACACACACATTAATAATGTTAATAATATATGTTTTTAATATTTATGTTTTTAATTCATTTATAAGATTTTTTTAAAATATATGAATAATAGCCTAATGAAGTCTGCTTTGGCTTCCTTGTTGTTTTCCCCTCAATTTTACAATCTCTGGACAGTAACACATTATGTGACATCCAGAAAAGCAAAGCCAAAATTGTCAAGTCAACTTTCAATTCAAAGGAAAGGAAAAAAAGTATAATTTTTTGAACAACTAACAGATTTCTCTGTTGAAATCAAGTCAGAAAAAAAGTATTTATGACTGCACGAACACTGAGAGAAAATGTCACGTTTGCTGCCAGTGAAGAAATGTGTTTTATATAAAAGAGGGCATGTTCTGCTCTGAGTGCTGACTGAATTGGGCAACAGGCCAAGGTGGATTGGTCATCATAAGTTTGCGAAGCCCACAGAGTGAGAAGCTCCCACCAGTTTGGAGTACGAGACATCCTTGAGCAAGAGATGCCAGTATATCGCTCTGTTAAAACTGAGAGCGTGACAGCAATGTCGGATTTAATCATTAATGAGACTTTACCAAACCTCAACGCATTTGTACAGGCGGATCCGTATATACGACACTATAAGGGAGAACTGCGGAGAAGGTAAACAAACTTTTAATAAATTCAACCTATAGTTACTTATTCTTATTGGTCGTTTTATGGATTTATTCCGAGTTTTCCATCAAAATGGTGCGTTTAGATAACTATAATCAAAGTTTGTTTATACATACATAAAGTCTTTATACATAAAGTCTTTGCAATGTTTCATACACGTGTGTGTAGCTCTGCTAGTCCTCTGTGTCTCCAAAGTCGTCTCTTACGTGCTGGCTGCACGTTCAGCCACATCCACATGCATATTTTGTTGTATGAATATCTGAACATGCAATATATCAAAAGAAAGAACAGAGCATCTGCTTTTAAAAAAAAAAAAAAAAAAAAAAAAAAAAAAACTGTTTATTCCAGCTTCATGCCATATTTTTTATCAACACTTGTTAAGAAAAATAAAAAAAGCAACATGAACCCAAATCTGAGAAAAGGGTGTTTTCCCCACAAAGATTACCAAGTGCACAGGCAATGCTTGTATGGCTTTATTCTGTTTCTTTTTTGTCTGTTTTGATCCAGAGATTCAGTGCTCTTTCAGAAAATGCGTAATAGCGCCCCCTTCGGTATAAGAGTGAAAACATGGAAAGCCGGAACATTCCGTCAATGGCGGGGAAGCGTTGTCTCATAAATGATCGAAAATTTCTGACAATGAAATAAAAATTGACAGTTATTTTTGATGGAATATTGCAGTATTTATTATAAATGTTTTTTCTGTGCACATCATTGTTATTATTTTTTTAATTCAAGTGATCTCATTATCTATAATCAAAATAACTTCCGCCTCCCACAGGCAGTGACATTCTGATGACCTGTTTATTGGCGGGAAAACCTCACTCACATGAAATCACAGCAAAAACAAACCACAATGATGCAATAAATTCCCAATGGACAAAATCAAGTCCCGGTCTAATTTTTTTTCTTGTTTGAAAAGCCGTTGCACTCGGATGTACATCAAAATAAGGGGGGAAAAGACAGCTGCAACTTCCGTTTCTATGCTGTTTTTATCTATATAAACGCTGCCTTGTAGACATGCGCCAGTTATTCAAAATATTACAATAAATGAAATCGTTAATTCATCCAAAATGTAAATCTTGTCATAATTTAGGCTACTCATTCCAAAACCACAATGTCTATTTTTCTGATATATTACTTAATTTTTGATGCTTATAAAAGCCAAAGTGTTGTGAAATTGACTAACTTTGGTTCTCCTGACCAGACTACCCCTCACCTTAGAATCCCCATGACACCATCTCAGTGTCTCCACTCACTTCCATAATAATTTAGGATTGATGTACTAGTATTTGCCATACAGTGAGCGTAAGTTGCTTTACTGTGACAGTAATGGATTCCAGACTTTTTTGATTATTAATGTTCATATAGAACTTGCGGTGAAAATATGGGACTGTCAGCTAGTCCAGTAGAAAGAGAAAGCAGCTAATTGGCCGGAGCTTGTGAAAACAGGGTGAGATGGCACACAGAGAGACAGCATCTGAGCTTGGCAGGTTTCCCCCATACCACCAGCCAGTCGTCGTACCTTGTTAAAATTCACTTTAATGTCTAGAGCCTCTCAGACAGACACACATGCACACATTCGTGCAGGCATGGGCGCACGCACCTGCGACTTCCATGGGGTGGTTTTTGTGTGGATGGGAGACAGAAAGGGAAAATTAAGTCAGCCATTGTCAGCAGAATATTGTCACAGGAGGTTTCAGTTCATGACGGGGGTTTGACAGTGAACCTTAGAAATTTTTTTTAGAAAAAATGCTTGTGTGAAGTATGCAAATGCATTTTGCTGTCGAAATATCCATATCCCCACTTAAAATTTCACTTTTTCTTGCAGCTTTATGCCTATAGGAAAGGTTTTGTGGACAAAACGTAATGCATTAAACGTGGTTATCTGATTGTGAATATGGACAACTAAAGTCAATGTAAAAGAAGAACTAAATGTCAAATCAACATTTACAAAATACAAAAATAGTTTACAAAAATGCAAAATTGTTTATTTGAATGCATACACTACATATAAAATAATGATGACTTGGTGTAGTTACGAATTAAGTTTTTGAGTGCAAGAAGCCCAGGTTTTAAATCCCAGGGTTTTTTTTCTTTCAAAATTGCAGCTGTATGTCAGTGGATGTTCATCAGTTGCAGGGATGTTTTGGTGTGCATTTTATTTTGTGCTGAAATGGAGAGCAAACAATGCTGCTCTATAACAGGATATGCATACACTGATGACAAACACACAGCAACAGATTAAAAATGTCAAATTCCAGTATGACATTGCCAGTCATTATATCACAAACATCTGGACTTGTTTGAATGAAAAGGCTCTGAGTCTGGCTTATGCAGTATGCAGGATCCTGACCATGCTTTCTGTATGTGTGACAGAATAATCAAGTAAAAATTATAATTTAAACCATTAATAGTAATAATAATATAAAATAAATATATTCTATTAAATGATATCCACTAATCAATTTATGTTAAAAACATAAAACCCGATGTAAGCCTAAACTTTTTTTTCCTGACTTCGGTAACTGTATTGAGGGTATAACATTACAAGTAATTTGAGTTCTGTCATGACAACTCTCGGAGTGGATAAATTTCAACCAGCATTTATTGGCATGGGGCATGAAATATGCATAAAGGCTTGATTTTGGTGGACAAGATCTGCTACGCTGTTGCTGCTAAGCAAATACAATTTGTTCAGCTTAGTCAAAAATAACAAACAAAGGAAAGGCTGCTGCAAGAAATGGTGAACCCCCGTTGCAGATCTCTACAGGTGGCGCTGGGGAGGAGGAGGGACAACAGAAAGCTTTCATATCGTGCAGTCAGTGTGCCGATCGCAGGCTAGGGTATACTGTGGCCCTTTCCCAAATGGCACATATGTGGACTTGTGGACTTCCTCAGAGTCCACACTTCAGTGACGTCATGTAGTGCAGACCTATAGGGCCCTTAGCGCGAGTCCGCGAGGGCGCATTGAGAGGGATTTTTGGGACAGACTCGATCGTCACGCCGGAAACAGGAAGACGGTCTGATTATTGTTATGGACAGGAGCTACAGGTTCGGGGAAATATGCTGCCTATTGTTGTTGTGTTTACATATGACTCAGTAAAGCCCTGACATTCTGTTCTATTTATTTAATGAATCATAATGCGATCGTATTATTCAGCTCGCTATTATTAGCCTATGTTTGAGACAACCACTGGTCGATGATCATAATGTTTGTATAAACTTGTCATAAAAACCGTAATGATAATTACACTTAAATATTTTCTTCTCAGCCATGTTAACAATTGTCCGTGAGCGAAATCTCCTCTCATCCGTTGTCTGATTGGCCTTTCGCAAGGATTCCTGGGTAGTTAAAGTGCGTGGAGCCTGCATCTATGCGGGCTTCGCGGAAGACCGCTTCAAGGGTACAAAGGGGGCGCTGCTGAGCACACTCCATAGCGTTAAAATGCTAAATGGGATGGCCTACGGACTCGTAGACTCGGCGAGCACGCGCAATTTAAGTCCACGAGACCGAAAGTCCGCATGAAGTGCGCCATTTGGGACAGGGCCTGTATATGGTTACTTGGATTTGAAAGTACTTCTGATTAGCTGGTGCCCCAGCATTGGAAGAACCAATCAGCGTTCGGTTAGAGTTATGTATTTATTTAATCAATTACTTTTCCCAAGTATCTAGTAAAGTAACACATTACTTTTAAATTTACAACAAATTGTCTGAGTTATTTTTTCAAATAAGTATCGCAAGGTACTTTGTTTTCCCATTTATAGATAAACACCTCTGATGTGCCCGTGTTGAGAGAAATCAAGAGTAAGGTGCGGAGGTGCTGTGTGCACTGTGTAAACATGGTTACAGTAATTCTATCTGAATGACTGAATGTGAGCATGCAAGCACTCATCTTATTTGCACAAAAACAGATTAATTGTTCCTCAAAATGAATAAAAACAGTGTAATGCAAATTCAGAATATTACGGAAACCTGCAAGTAAATGTTAAATTACAGTTATGAATTTAATCTAACTTTATTAACCAATGTCTTTGCTGCTGACTTTGATGATCCAATTCAACCATAATAAGCAAAAATTACCACATTTGAGCTTCATTTTTGTCTTGTTTTTTATTGTTGAAGTAAGAGTGTTGAACATTCTTCGCCTACATCCTATTGTTCTCTAATCCAGAATGGCAGCACAGCTGAAAGGTTTGTGTGAGCTGCGCCCTCTACTGTACATTTCCTTCAACCTGAGGCTTGTTCATTTCACTTTTGGTTTGAAAGGGCTTTTAAATTAGCCAAAATAGGACTTTAAAAAAAAAATATTAAGCCCAGCTCAGGTGAGGAAAAGTAACGCATTTAGTTACTTTTTATGGAGGAACGCAATATTGTAATGCATTACTTTTTAAAAGTAACTTTCCCCAACACTTACTGTCTGATAGACTGACAGCACCGTTGGTTAGATTGTACCCTCCCTCGTAGCCACTTCCCTTCTAAGATTTAAGCTTTTAAGGTTAAGAGGTTTTTTTTTTTTTCTGGTTTTTGTAACCGCTGAGGACCAGGTGCTGCTGATGACACTTCTACCCTATGAGAGTCATTACATCCTGATATCTCTCTCTTTCAGCCCTTCGTGCAATGTCGTATTTATTGCTTTAGGAATGAATCAGTTTGATTGATTGCCTTCATCACCGATAATGGCCTCTTTTCTCTCGGGGGTCAGAGATGATGCTGGTGGCACTTTTAAAGTGCCTGTCTGTCATTATGTTCACTGTACATAAAGTAGAGAGGGTTAAAAGATAATGTGTAGACCTCTAATGTGTAGCATCCTTATGTGTACAATCACTGTTTACATTGTGTTTGTGAGGTAGCCAAATCCACCCCTGACCTTTGTACAAAATTGGTCCAGAATTTAATTTGTTAGGGGCCAACCTGGTAATTGTTGTTTTTTCTTATTCCTCTCATAAGTAAACATGTCATTCCACCTTTGCCTCCTTGCCAACAGAGA